CCTGCTGAAGTCAGAAGCTAGATGCAGTTTCAAAGAGAGGTGTAGGCTGTGTTTCACTTTAGGTTGGCCCTGCCTGTCTCCACGGGCAGGGCAGCTCTCCCTTACTAAGCTTTGTGCTGCTCATTTGTCTCACCTCTAACTCCTAGTGCCAAACAGCAGCAGTTCTGGGAGCCAAGATCAGAAGCACAAGCAACATCCCTATCACTGGATAGTAAAGTCAAGTGTCCCCCTGTGTTTCCCCACCTATGCCCAGTGAAGTTGGCTTTCCAGCTTTGGCAGGAAAGATGAAGATTTCTTTAGCTTCTTGTCTCCAAGAGATGTGTTTGACAATGCTGAAGCATCTAGTTTCTCTCGTACTTGGTATACAGAGACCTAGGGCATATGTTAATTCAGCTACACTGAGCATGGAAATGCCTGAAATCCTTTGCAAATCCAGACACTCATGGCCTCACTCACTGTAGCTTTATTACATTCCTGGAAGTGTGATGAAGCCATTCAGACATTTCTTACAGAACTTAAGTATTTGTTTCTGCACAGAGATTTCAAGGAGACCTAGCTATAAAGGACCTGAAAGTGTTAGGAAAAAGGCATTCTCAAAAGATACATCACAGTCTGATTCATTCAGAACTTCACATTTAATCTGTGTGGCACATTCAAGATGTATACTTTTTCTCTTTGTAACCTTCATTAGCACCAAGCATTTTTATTGTAAAAATCGCTCATACCTCAACTTGTATTATGAGTCCCAGTTCTCTACAATACCGTGAACCTCTACATTTGAATGTGCTGGGATTGAGAAATAAGCCAGGCAACAGCTGTAGCCAGACTGGAAACCAGCTACATAAATTCAGTTGCAGTGCGCCTGTTAACACAGTTTCTGCTGTATAAGCTGCTTCCTTGTACTTGTATGATCTCATTTGAGTCAGTGCTAGAAGTGAATATCTGAAAGACTCAATGGAACACCAACAGAAATCTCTTCCACATTGTTTTCAAGCTATTGACAGCATGCAGAGTTGGAGGTACTTTTCAGTAAGTGGTCCAGGAAGCAAGAGGAGGCTCAAAGACTTTGCTCTAAGCTCCTGTTTCTCTCATGAACAGTGTTCATCCTGAACTAGCACACATCCAAAAAGAGATCCTCTTGTTTGGTTTCATTCAGCTATTTCCTGACTTTAAAGATGAAAATTATCAGCTCTAAGGCTCTTTTCCAGATGCATATCTTTGAGTTACTACATCAGCAAAACCTGTAATGTAAAGTTAGTTTTTAAGTTAAGGGTATGTCTGGCCAGTTACTTGGTGCTACAAGGTTGAATGCTCAGGGACACCTTTTTCCCCAGTAGTACCCAGCAGGCTACAAGAAGTGGCCAAGATTTGCAGATGTCTTCTAGCTATCAAAACAAAATGCTACAGATAACCATACATTGGCTCATATCTCCTAGTGTAAAATTATCATAGTAAAATGCTAACTTTCTTCAAAGCATTACACAAACTCTGTCAGGAGCTCGAAGCCTGAGTCAAAAGTCCAAATTAAGTTAAATGTTTAAAACAGTACTAGGTTGCTAAAGTAAGGAGTCTTAGCAATTGACAGACTTAACCTGGACAATTTATTAACTTTTCTAGGAAAGTCAACTTAGATGTGGTGTTCAACACAAGGGACTGTTTGCCAGTGATCCAAAGTACAGTTTTAGTTATACACAGAATGTACAACATATGATGGGCATTCTTAAGAGCACAGACAGTGCTGGTGTAAGTTTTTAGTTATGAAGCCTTTTCTTTCTCTCTTTTTTTTTGGGGGGGGAGGGGGTGTGCAGGGCTTTTTAAGATGCTTGTTCACTCTTCCCCAAATGGCAGGCAAATACAATGTAAATAAAACATACTTGGTTTTCTAGGCACAGGCTGAAAAAACTAAACAGGCACTCATAGTTGTGATATCACTACTGACAAGGCCATGGTTTACAGTTCTTTGGTGTAGTTTTTAGAAAATAGAGGCATCAGCCTGGCATATTTGAGAAGCCTTTGCTCAGTCCCTTGAAAGGAATGTTATCTCAAAGTTTCTTGCAGCAAACAAAACCCCTGATCCTAAAAAAAAAAGAAAATAAAATAGTGCAGTATGGTGCAGCAGCCACAGCCTCACACAGGGAAGGACAGGACAGCCACTGGAGCCTAAACAAGCAGGCAGCCTCTATCAGAGCGAAGGAGACTTCAGAAAAGCCAAGGATACTTTCATCTGCTGCCTGGAACAGAAGACCAGACACCAGAAGAATGGCTACAACTCAGAACACCAACCTCTACCTGGACACCGCAACAAAAAGCTCTGAACTATCAGAGCAAAGCAAATACCAAGAGGACAGCTCATACCCTCAAAACTAAACTCAGCATCCTTAACATGGTTATTCTTTCTGCATAATAAATAGGGCCTGAGATACTTCAAAATACTTTGAGCAGCTCCGGCAAAAAAGGTAAATCACCCTCAGTGCCCAGACAGGAACCAAGGCACAAAGGATGAGTCCTTTGCTTCATGTCAAAGCCTCATCTTTGACCATATTGGAGTCTATGGCAGGCTAGCAAGTGCCACATGTCCAGATTGACATGCTCCGATACCAGCCAAACCAGACCTGCACAGAAAAGTCCCTATTACTGGAGGCGTGATGGACACACCATTAACATCTGAGAAGTTTCTGCAGCTCAGGCAAGTGGACAAAGCACCAACATGGGGCTGAAGCACTTTGTGGACACCCAGCCTATATCCTTAGTAATCACTCCAAAAAGGTGTTATTAGTACCAACAACTGTGAACACACCTTGGAATGTGTGTCCCATCCACCTATTAGGTAGTGCAAATGAGAAATGAAACCTACAGGCAGGGTCCATACTGCCTCAACCAGCAGGCATCGACAGAGGAAAGCGTTCAGGAGGGCATAGCATCCTCTGAGCTGAAGGCTTGTCAAGCACCACGTTTTCTGTCCACCCTGGGTGAAAGTTAAGGAACCCCGAACATTATCAAGGGTCTTTGGGCTTCCGTCAAAAAAAAAAAGGTTTCAGAACTGATTTTAAACAATGCTGCTATGTTAAGACCTGGAAAGCTGCTCAGGATGCCAGAGTTACTGTGAGCTTTGCAAATGATTTGCACATTCACATTTTGTGATGTCTGAAATAGCAGAGGAGTTTCTTACAGAGAGCCAAGGGCTCTGCTCAAAGGAACCGGGAGAAAGCACAGCCCGGTGCAGGATCCCGGTGCAGCATAGCCACACTGAGAGTGCCTTAAGGGAGGGGGGAAGGTGCTTCAGGGTTTTTATAAAATACAGGTTTTGGAAGTAAATACACCTTCTCTGAAAAGAGGTGCCTGCACTGCTTCTCTCCTCACGCCAGTTATTATTTAAAGTTACGAAGTTCTAAGCCAAAATTATAAAATTAGAAAGCGACGTTTTAATTTTATAATCCGAAAATCCGAAGTGATAATCCAAAGGTTACAAAGTTACAACCCGAAAATATAGCTACAATCTCAAGTTCTCAATTTACAACTCAAACCTCTAACACCAAGTTACGAAGTTAAAACCCAGAACTCTAGCTATTACCCCAAACTCTCAACTTGCAATGCGGAATTACAGCTACAATCCATTCAGAAAGTTTCAGAACAAAACCCAACTCATCAAAACCTGTTCAAAACCCACCCGGAGCCCGCTGTGAGCAAACCCTACAACAAGCCGGAGCGCTGCGCGCTGCAGCGGAGTCTGCTAGACTGGTATTGTCTCCCCACCTCATTTAATATTAAACCAAGAAGCCTGGCAAAGGACGGGAACCGAAAATCAATCAAACAAAAAACAACTAAAAAAGTCTCCCTGCTCCCCCCAACTCCACTCACAGCCATAGTGGGGCCGCTGCAGGGACGCCAGCTCCTCATGGCACATCCTGCCGCCGCCGGGAGGCACGGCTCT